TGTGTCCAAATGGGTGGAGGCCAAAGCCACCCGTACTAATGATTCCAAAGTTGTTATGGATTTTCTTAAGTCACAGATTTTCTCCCAGTTTGGCACTCCAAAGGCTTTCATAAGTGACTGTGGGACTCATTTTGTAACCGGATGCTTGAAGCCGTTATGAAAAAGTATGGGTGAGTCATAAAGTCTCAAGAGCCTACCACCCCTAAACTAATGGGCAAGCGGAGGTCTCCAATAGGCAAACCAAAAGCATTTTGGAGAAAACAATCAATCCAAACCGCAAAGACTGGAGCATAAGGCTGGACAATGCCTTATGGGAATACCGTACTGCTTTCAAAACCCCCATTGGTATGTCCACATATAGGCTAGTGTTTGGAAAAGCATGTCACCTCCCGGTTGAGCTCGAACACAAAGTTTTTTGGGCCATAAAGAAATTCAACTTGAATGAAGATGAAGCGGGAAACAAAAGGAAGTTAGACATTCAAGAGTTAGAGGAGATCCGAAATGATGTGTATGACAGTGATATGATTTACAAAGAGAACACAAAGGCATACCATGACAAAATGATCTCCCGGAAGACTTTTGCACAAGGACAAAAAGTGCTTCTTTATCACTCGAGGTTCAAATTGATTTCAGGGAAATTAAGATCAAGATGGGTTGGTCCTTTTGTGGTCACAAAGGTATTCGACCATGGTGCGGTGGAAATCATAAGCCAACAAACTAGAAAAACATTCAAAGTCAATGGTCATAGATTGATGTCACAACTTGCATTTTAGCCATGAAATTTTGTGATCATGTAAACGTTACCTATGATAATATTTGTAACTCTAACTTGATATTATGCATTATGTTCATTTTATGACAACAAATTCCATCAAGATTCACTAGTGAAGTTCAAAACTCACAAAGTACTTCAAATGGTCAATTATGAGTTGAAAACCCTAAAAATCTCGGTTCAAGTTTATTATGGACTAGGATTTTATTATCGGGCCTAATGGGCCAATAAGCCTTCAATTCAACTATTTTGGGCCTAGAGACCCTAATGGGTTCTAATTGGACCTACATTTATAAAACTTAACATATTGGGCCATATGAGCCTAAAATGGTTCATGATATTCTTAATGGGCCAAGTTGGGCCACAACTAATTCCATTTGCCCTAATGGGTCATAAACTCCATTCTTTTTATTCTAATGGGCCAAGAACCTTCCATTTGGGCCCATAATATCGAAATCAAGCACTAAAGGCCCAAACCACTCCTCCTTTCTCCTCTTCTTTCTCCCTCTTGGACCAACAACAAAAACAAAAAAATGAAGAAAACAAGATTAATGTAGGCTTGCCACCTATTTTTTTTAATGGTAATATAGGCTTACAACTCTTAACCATCATGTATTAACCTTTTGATTCTCTCTCTTCCTTCTCCTTATCTTTAGTCGAGAACACAAATACACCACCACCATCTTCATTTTCCTCCAACTCTTACAAGAAATCTCTCAAGAACTCTCCTCATTCTCTCTAAACTTTCGAGATTTGGTGTGTGTCTTCAAAGAGGTTCTCATCTAGATCACCCTTCTTGGTAAGTGATCATCATGCACTACTTGTTATCCTCCATTCCTATACTAAAATTTCATACTTACAAAGCTTCATTTCATGATCATTTTTCCTAAAAACATTCAAGTTCGAAAACTTCTTCAAGGAATCAACCAAGGCTGAAAACACCTTCAAATCTCCTTCATCTCTTCATCAAAACCGATCCAAACCCCAATGTGAGTACATACCCGCTAGTTTTCGGTTTTTACTCGTTTTTGGGGGAGAATACAAGTGTTATGAATATATCTATGTGTTTATGCATGTTATGTGTGATTTTCTTGGTTATTAGTGTGAATATGTGGAAAAGTATGACATAATTCGAAATCTCCAACAAAAATGAGTGTGAATCATAAACTAAAACATACTAGTCATCATAATACAAAGATAAAAGTATTTTATATGCTTAAAATGTGAAAAGCAAAACAAAAATCATGTATAAGGAATCATTTTGACAAATAAAGTGAAGTTTTGGGAGAGATGTGACATTTTCGGTTTTATAAGGATCAAAAAGGTCACATTTGTATAAAAATGAGTTTTTATAATAATCATACTTTTTAAAGGGCCAAAAGTGTAAAATTTAGCATTTCGGCTTTAATTTGGGCCTTATGGCTTTTTCGGCCCAAATTGCAAAAATAACAATTTTTATGGATTAAAACGTTAATTTTATAAAAATTGGGTCGAAAATGTAATTTTCTGCAAAAATGGACTGAAAATGTCAATATATGTATTTTTAGGCCAAATCCATCAATTAGTAAACATTTGGGCAGAAAATATAATTTGTTGTAAACTAATGGGCTAAAATGTTATTTTTAATTAAAATAGACTCAAAATGACTTTTTATGTAAAACAAGCCATTAAATGTTCAGATTTGTACTTTAGGGACCTAAAGTGAAATTTTTATTAAAATGAGTTTAAATTATAGAATTTTAAAGTAAAAATATCATTATAACAAGACACTAGACTTTTTATAACATTATGGGTAAACGTTTCAACCAAAAGAATCCATATTATAACTAACAAATGAAATACAACAATAGGTACAAATATTGGGCCTAGTACTTACCATACATGTTTATTGGGCCTTCGTGATCCATTTGTATGTTTATTGGGCCCAATATATTCATTACATGTCTATTGGGCCATAGTGACCCAATTACATGCTTAATGGGCCTAAATTAGCTTTACTTGTTATTGGGCCTTAGTGGCCCGTTTACATGCTAATTTAGCCAAGATAAAATCATCATATGCTTAATGGGCTTTAACGTGTTCATTTGCATATTATTAAGCCTGAAAATAACTTACATGTCTAATAGGCCACAACTATCCTTTTTCATGTTTGTTGGGTCGTGTTTTTTCACATTCAAGTATAATCTGGTGTTTGTAAATCAAAATACATATAACATTAAACATATTCATGTGGCAATAATTGGGATCTAGTGAGACTTGTCGGTTAACACCATTAAGTGTGTGGCTGTAGCCTGTAGTTATAATCAGAGTCTCCTGTAGGGAGAGCGAGAGTTTGTGTATAGATCTATACGGTGGTGACTCCCCCACACCTGAGTTGTTTGCTACAGTTAGACTAGGCCAGTCTAGGGTGACAAAACCTTGATCAAGACCGGCGTTTGGAAAAATGTCAAGACAGGCGAATTAGTGATTATCATGCATGGTTATAATGACTCACATAGAGATCCATTATCATCGATACATTACGGGAATCAAAGTGTTTAAATCATAATAATACGAAAACAATTCATACAATAATTCAAGGACTACGACACTTTTATAAATCATAAAATATCAAATTTTCTGGGGAAATACTATTATTTATTACCTTCTACTTACAATAGATACAATACAAGGAAAATTTTGAATTGCTTACTTATACATGTTTTTACAATGGAAATCACACATACATTTATACTTGATCATTACATCATTTTCATACAATTTACAGAAAATATCGGATTTTCAGGGTTATACAAACAATACAAAATCTTCCAGTCAAACATGCTTATGAACTCACCAACATTTTATATGTTGACCATTTTCAAAATAACTTGTATGCTCAGGTAATCGATAAGCTGAAGACTCATCAAGAGTATTTTGGGATTTCTTTTATGTAAATGTCAATCATCATGCAAATTATGTTTTGGATTGTGTAGTGTAAAACAATGTACTTGATGTGAACAATACCATTTGTACTGTGTAATGTTTGGTGATGATTGTGTTATGTTTCATGTATATTCATTGTGATGATATTTCAATTTAAAGTCACACGAGCCCTCTAACGTTCCGTCGTCTGGTTCGAGGGTGTGACAATTGAAGCCGTTTTACGAAGGATTCGAGGTGAAGAATGATGAGAGAGAAGTTGTTGGGAACCCCACGTACCAAGACTGAACCATATTCGGGGGCAAAGTCGAGCCAACAACTTAAAACAAGGGCAGCTAGCTGGGAGGCAATCCGGGGGTATTTCCATCTTTTTCTTTAAAAACCTTTTCATTTCTTTGAATTTTTTTATTTTTAATGTTCCAAATGCATTTAAACATTATTTTAAATTATCAAATGGACCTCGGGATGCAAAAACATTTCGTTTGAATGAGAGGGGATTCTTGGGTTCAAAAATTGGGAAGTAGTAAACACAGTCGTACACGGCTCGTGTTTATTTTTGCCTTAAATTAAACACGGTTCGTGTTCAATCGAAAAGAAAACTTTTGGAACATAGAGGGGTACACTGCCCGTGTTCATTTTTACCTTATACTGAACACGGGTCATGTTCAGCATTTCCCAAGAATTTAACCCCAACACGGGTCGTGTGAATTTGGCTTGTGGGAACACGGGCCGTGTTCGCGCAGCAGACCTGATGGTTTTTAATGCATAAAATTGGATTTTTTTGCCTCATTCACCCACAAACTCTTTCTAAAACAGCCCCTCTTTCACAAGGAACCCCAAGGTCCGATTTTTCTTCAAATCCCTTGATTTCTCCACGATTTTGGCTTGAATCTTCAAAGAGGTTTGATCTTCATCTCCTACATCCAATACACCATTTTCTTGCACTTTCATGGTGGATTTTGGGGTTTTGGACAAACCCTAGGTCCGAAAATTTCCAAGAATTTTGGTGTTTTTGTGCTTAATCTTCGTGTAGGCAAGCTTGGGACGTTGAAGAAGGTCTTTCTCACCAACAACATCGCATTTCCACTAACGATTCGGTAAAATCTTTCCAATTATTCACTTGTGGATTTTGTGTTTGTAAGTTTAATTGCATTCATTTGTGGTCATATTGGACTTGACAATCACTTTGAAATCACTAAGAACCGTGTTTCTCGCGAAATTTTAGTGGTCAAATTCGTGTTGACTGGACCCGTCGACAGTTGATTTTTTGACCGGTTGACTCTTTGTCCCAACAACAATTTTGCATATGGAAGGGAAACATTCTAAAAGACCTAGACACACCAAGTCATCGGCCCACCGTCGTAGGTCTCCATCACCACCGCCTAGGTCCCCATCACATCCAACAAATCCGACACATGGTGGTGTGGTTTGTTCTAGCTAAATTCAAGTTGCTAAAATTGAGGCCTTTCTTCGGCGCACTCATACCGTTCAGAAATATGCACATGTGTCATCTCTCCGTGAGTTGCACATCTATAAACAAGTCCACACCTTGTTCCCGAACATTGGATGACAAAGATTGTTACAGGTCCACGAGCTCAGTTACAAAGTCCCGACAATCGAGTTCTTATCTTCACTCTATTTGGACCACAATGTCCTACATTTCCGGCTTATGAACCAAGATCATGCCTTGTCCATAGACCAAATCAATTCCATAGTTGGGGTCCCCACAGAAAACACCTTTGGCCCCAATGACCCAATCCTAGGATACAGTGATCTTACATGGTGGACTCACCTTACGCGTAAACACCCCTATGTCTCAAGTTCTGCTAAGGCCTCATCTCTCATCCACCCTGTGATGAAAGTGGACCACAGGATTATTGTTTCACTTGTCATCCCTAGAGAATAAAGAAGCACCATTAGTGCTCTTGAGCTCAAAATACTCTATGTGATGGCCCACCCGGACGATAACCTCATTCCTCACTATGGCTCATTCCTTTGCAACAGGCTCATCCGCCTCAGCACATCACGGTCCGAAAAAATCTATCGTGGCGGTATTGTCAGTTTGTTTGCTAAAAGTGCTTCAGTCCAAGCCCCATTTCCCGGAATTCACCAACCTTACCACAACAGTACTCGAAAGCATGAGGATGTTTCAAACGGAAGACGGGAACCACAATTGGATTGTGGGCCAAAACCACGACCCAAGACTCCTCATCACTCCTGAAAACTGGAACATCCTTGACCTCAGGCGGCCTACTAACTTCACCGATTGGCAAATCACACCATATTTTTTCCCCAACTCCTTCTCTGAGGAGGAAGATGAGGAAGGTGGAGAAAGTGATGACAGTGGCGGGGCGACACCACAAAATTCTCCTCCCATGGGTGATGCCAGCTCATCCCATCATGTTGGGCACCCATCATACCACCGACAATATACAAATCAATTCCAATTGATCCATACCTGCCTTGACACTTAACATCAAGATGTCATGAACCGAACCCAAAGTTTTTCCACCTTCACCACTCAATACGCTCGGGATCAAGAGCGTCAGCATAAACAAGAGGAGGAATTTTGGGCTTGGACCCGAAATCCCAAGTACTATCCTCTTCCTCCTCCGTAATAGGTTGTCCCGCCCTCTCCGAGCATCGGCGACGATGCTTATCTTTAAGCTTGGGGAGGGGTAGAGTTGTACATTAGGTGTATTTTCATGTTCATATTCATATTCATGCATGCATTTTCAAAAAAAAAAAAGAGATTTTACCTTTCTTATTTTCATTTTCCTTGCATTCTGCATTTCTAAAACTCAAAAAAACATTTTTATTTTTAGTTTTTGCATTCCATCTTATTCATGCATGCATTTTCACACACACAAAAAAAAGTACGATATGATGAAACTCTTTACATATAATAGCTCCATGAAGTGGGAAATCGAGAACTCAAATGAAAAAAAAAATACTAAGGCAACCGGATAGTTGCCGGAAGTGTAGAATCAGCTGCCATAACTACGGGGCCTAAACACCGTAATTCGAGACCCCAGCCTTAGAATTTTTTTTTGCATATCGAAACGTTTTGTGGGCGGTAATACCAACTTTAGGATGATTTGCTTCTGAATGTTTAAAAAGATTCTTTATCGACAACTCTAGACCCACTGAACATGGACCTATTTGTTGACACGCGTTACCCTCGCGGTAATAGAGAGCTTAAGTATCAGATCCACATAGTCAAGAAAGAAGAAAGGGTACAACTGTCATATCCAGTACCCAAATCAGAATTTCAAGTGCCAAAATGAAGAAATTATCAGAAATTTAAAAGTTGATTGAAGAAATCAAGCTCAAAATGAAGATACACATCCAAGTTCAATCAAAATCAAAAGCCACCTCAAAGTCAAATCTAGCGAAGGAAGAATTGTGTGATATGATACTTGTGGCTCTCGAAAAAGTGAAGCGTAGGAGCTGGGACCTTCGGGTGGGCTCGCTGTTTCAGCTAAAGTTGATTCGCTGTGACGGGTTCTTAAGGATGCATCGATTCTAATTCTTGGCCATCTAGTCTTAAAGACATGAGATCCGGACTGTTTTATTTTCTCCCATAAAGTTAATTAAGGTATGAAGTTTAAATAAAACTATGGTTGGATTATTGGGTTACACCGTTTCGGGTCTTCCTCACTTTAGGAGAATGTGATATGTGGAAGGAAGCAAGATGGTTGCCTAGGTATTAATAATTGGAGTCACATTGATGTAAAATCTGATCGTACTTATATAGATAAATTACTTGTGCTCTTAAATTTCTCCTTGATTCATTTTGTTTCTTTAATTCTTTTGTATATATTTTTATTTTTATGGTTTTCATTGCATACATTCATTCCTAGCATTTAGGATATTTCTATTCCTTTTTTGCTCTATGTTTCTTTTTGCCATCTAGAAATCATCATGTTTCGTCTGATTCTTATTCTTTCTTGAGGAAAAAAAATGTCTAAGCCTAGGGAAATTTGTTAGGTGCATTTGTGCACCTTGTTGCGCATCTTTTAGTCCCTTTTTATGCATCTATTTAACATAGTTGTTCTTCATTTGTCTTGCATTTCATCATATTCATTTTAGTCTCTAGAACAACCTTATTTACACACTTTCATGTCTTATTCAGGTAAACCGGAGGTTGGAACGCAATTTGGGAGGTGGCGGGAAGCATTAGTGAGGATTTCAGGATGATTGGGCGAAGAACGGAAAAGTTGAAAAAATCGAGTTTGGACCCGATAACAGAGGAGTACACGACCCGTGTTGGATTTACATTGTAGAATTGGCATGGGCCATGTTCATTAGAACGGGAGCTATTGACTTCACTGAACACGACCCATGTTAGTTTAGCCTATTTTGACACGGGTTGTGTTGGCCTTGCAGAGCAGTTATGAGCATCGAACTTTAGAGTTGGAATTGAGGATTGAAGACCATTTTCCATTCAACACGACCCGTGTTGATTTGCTCTATTTTGACACGTGCCATGTCCGACCCAAAAACTGCCTTTTGGCAGATTTTCCTAATTTTTGTATCTCGGGATTTGGGTCTTTTTTGGCATGGACAAAACATATCATAGCACATTTTGAGAAGGGATTTAGAATGTTTTTTCAAGGGTTTGATTAGTAATCATTTGGAAACATTATTTCTAGTCTTTGTAAGTTGTAATTGCACATTATTTCCATATTGTAAACTTGTGATCTTGTTCTATCCATGTATGGCTAGAACCCTAGTTTCTCCAATTTCATGTTTTTATTTCTTGGTAGTGAATTTAATCATATGACCTGATGTTTGTTCTTAATTTCTATCCACTGAATTTGATTTTGCTTTAATCGAATGTTTGATTCTAATTGTGATTCTTATTGGCCATTTGAATTAGGTTAGGTCATTCAAGTTATCTCTTTTACAGAATCCGTAATTGTTTTGTGAAATTAAACAAGTAACAAGCATTAAATTGATCTCTACTGAATGAATTTAGTGTAGATCTTATTCATACGCTCTTACACTCCTGAGATTGTGAGGAGTATTGGGTGTTGTTGGGAACATTCACATAAAGCTTCATGCAATCTTTTAATCTAATTCTAAAAGCTTGTTTAGATTAGGTTAGCAAGGTTAGGGTTAATCAAAGAGCTTGTTTTGGTTAATTAATGTGGTAAATGGGAAGTGTTAGAGCTTGTTAACACTTTCAAGTACCAACTTAGATAGAACTGAACAAATATTGTGTCATCTTTGAATCACATTGCTAAGTTTTCATACATGAAGTTGGAGTCCTTACAAAATCTGAATTTAATTCACTCATTTATCTTATTACTTGTGTTTTTAATTTGTTTGTTTAATCATTGCACTCAACCCCCCCTCTCTTTAATCTTTTGTGAACAAGTACCTTGCACAAAGAGGTATTAGACCGATTGTCCTGTGTGTCTGTGGATCGACCCTACTTGCCTTGTACTACCTTTTAGTGCAATATAGTGGGATTCTTTTGGAGTATATTGTACCCCATTATTTGTTGGTTTCAACACATCTAATAGTGAATGATCCTCGAGAGCCTTACCATAAGACACACTTATTTGATACATTCATAGCACTACTCATCATGGCTTACAACTTTATGTTTCTATATCTTCCAAAATTATTGCTTATACAGATGCTAGTTGGGTCAAATGTCCTACTACCACATGTTCAACCTCTTCTTATTATGTTTTTATCGGGCATAACCTTCTATCTTAGTTTTCTAACACCATAACACCGTCTCTTGGTTTAGTGTTGAAGGTGAATATCGAGGCATTGCCAATTTAGTAGTCGATACATGTCGGCTTTGGAATATGTTTCGTGAGTTACATCGTCCCTTTTCTTATGTCACTCTTGTTTATTGTGATAATTTCAGTGTGGTATACCTCTTTGCCAATCTAGTTCAGCACCACCGAAGAAAAAACATTAAAGTATAAATATCCACTGCATTCGCGACGAAGTAGTAATGGGGAATGTGTGAGTTCTCCAAGCTCCTTTTCCTTGTAATATGTCGACATCTTTTCCAAAGGGCTTCCATCCGTGTGTGTTTCTCGACTTGATATCAAACTTAAATGTTCAAAGATGGGTTTTTTATGTAGCATTCGGTATATGTGACAAGGTTAGATGGAACATGACGGAACTTGATAGGACGAGAGTGAACAAACTATTTAAGTCGTGCTTGGTAAGACCATAACTCTATAGAACACAAGGTTAAAATTACTAAAATGTCGTTAAAGTTTTTGTAAATTGGTTTAAATATTTTTATGCACAAATATACTAATTATAAATGAGGTATATCATAAGGTTGTTTACTTTTTATCCAACCAAATTATAATTATAAAACCCACAATCTCGGGCAAACATAAGTAATAACTATATTATAAAATATCCATCATCAATTTCGAGCCAGTATATACTATCATGCCTTGACATCTTTCGTACCTGATGATCCTAAAACAATGGTTTTAAGGGAAAGGGTGAGCACAAATGTAACATCCCAGACTTTCATGTATTTCAAATCCTTTATTTGGTATTTACATATGGCATCTTGGGTCCTTGGAGTATAAAGATGTAGCCTTAAGAAGCCCTAGTGGCCAAATGGTGATTTTTGGAAGCAAGAGTAGTACGATGAGCGTACATGTGAATATGTTAAACGTACTATGACACACCCTAGTATGTTGGGCGTACACATATGTACACTGGGTGTACTAATGTCCGGGTGAAACCCTAATTTTTAAGGTTTGAAGAGTATTTAAGAACCTTTTATAGATCATTTTGCTTCACTCTTTTAGCATCCAAGTCCTTGAGCCGTTATTAGCAAATCCTAACCCTATAAGTCAGTGTTTTGAGCTTAAAGTTTGTTATGTGTGTTCTTAAAGGAGAAGGAAGTGTATT